TCTCTCTCTCTCTCTCTCTCTCTCTCCCCCTTGTGGAAACATTTTCTCAGCGACGTTGACTCACGACCTTATGTGCTGTGTAATTATTTAGATGGAACCCGCAATTGCAACAGCCGCCAATGCTGGAGAGACCAACATCATGGAAACATAAGCCATTGTAAGTGGTCTTTCGCGTGAAAATGAGTTCAACGAAACGACAGTTCATCAGCAGACCAGCGGCGGGGGCACAACAACTGCTGCATGTGAAGAGGTGTTCGCGACAATTCATATGGAAACTGAGCAGATGCTTGCTGACGTGGATGACAACGATAGCGGTGCACGAGGTAACAGCGTTGAGATAGAGAAGGTGGGTGGAGAGAGAAACGAGGAAGATGTTGGCAGTGAGGGTCCTCACAGTGGATGCATTGTCACAAATGCAAATGTGAGAAAGACAATGGCAGGAGATAGATACCCGTACTATGTGAATTGGGTGCCAGGTCGTGTTCAGGCAGGTATCGTTGGAGGTGTGCATTGCTTTGCTTTCAAGGTTGTTGATCAGTGGGTTGCTGTTCCTGCCCCAAAGAAAGAGACATGGCGTAACGTATGTCTGTCATTTATCTATGAGAGAGTGTTGAGGCTGAATGATGGGGCACCGACTGACGATGCAAGTGGATACTCATTGGAGATGTACTGTGTTCTACAGGCAAAGGGTGAGTTGCGGCTAAACGATTTCCTATATGACAACTTTGACTGCGGACAGCAGTGGGTGTTGGGTGGCCAGCAACGCAAGGGGGGGATGCCAGTCAGCCAGGACGACGCAAGAAGGGATCCTCGGTGGGGTTGGATGCCATCAGCAATCCCATTTGAATACGGCCGTGTTAAGATGCAAGTGCGTGATATGATGGGCAATGTGTGGAGCATGCATTACGTGAACGACATGTTTTCCTTCCGTCATTTGGACAGAGAAGCGACTGCAGACGAAAAGGAGGCGGTGACATGCCGGCCGCGCGATGCACTCATCTTCGACCCGCCAGTTGGCAATCCTGTCGAGTTAGCCCTGGCTGAAGGAACGGTGTTTGGTTGTGAGAAGAGCATCACATATGTCCACGTAAGGGGGAAAGAAGCCACATTTGATGGCATCTGTATGGACGTATGGGACCATGTGGCAATGCGAAAGGATGTGGTTGCAGCCAGTAACATTGCGGCCCATGTGATTCAAGAAGGGCAGTTGTACCATCATGTGGGTCGTGACATGTATGGGTACCATGTGAATTGGGTTGGTTCTTTGCATCCAGCAGTTGTTGATGGAAATAGTGACACTAGCAGCAAAAATGCAATCTGGTGAGTGGCTGCCTTTGGGTTGGATGCATGCTGGCGTTGTGGAGCATTGGCAGTTCTTGGTGGTGGTGACACGTGTCTCCGTCTGCAATCCTCATGTGAAGGACCAGGGATTGCTGGAGGAACACACGCAGCGTTGCTGGGAGAAGATAAGGGACGAAGAACGGCAGATGGTGTGCATGGGATATGACTCTCATAATTGCCAGGCGATGTGGTCGATCGTGGAAGACTCGTGCACCGAGCAAGCACGGCCCTCGACAGATGGAATGTTTCTAGAGGCCGTTCGACGCAGACATGGGTGCACATCACTTCTTGGGTGGGTCCCTGTCGTCTGTCCCATGACATATGACCATGGTGAACAGATGTGCATCAGATTCAGAGACCCTTTGGTGTCCCTTTCCAACTCACCTACATAGACGGACTGCTGCAGCACATTCAATACGTGGGTGATGACGACGCTTGTGCTGCATCGAATGGACAACCAACAACAGAGCAGCAACAAGACATTTCACATTTGGCAAGTCAGGTCGATGGCCCGGAAACAACAAATGATGGGGGATGTTTTAATGCAGAACCCGACGATGGTGACACCCCTGCGGAGCACGTGACAGGGAGGGCGGAGAAGAAGACGAAGCAGTGCACATCTAGGCTGCCTCGTGGACCTGGGAGTTCAACAAAAGCAAAAGGCAAACAAAAAGATGTCCCAGATCGAGGTCAGACTTCCAAAGCAGCTGCTGCCCCGGTTGAAAAGCGCAGGCGCCGCGCAGGGATGGCAGCATTGGCAAAAATCCGGCAACTCCAGCGATCTACTCACTTGTGCATCGCTTTGAGGCCGTTCATGAGGGTCATGCGCGAGATTGTTGAGAAAGAAATAGCACCAGGGCAATCTATCAGGTTTCAGATGAACGCCATACGTGCGTTGCTAGAAGCGGCCGAAGCATATCTCATCAACCATTTCGAGAGAACAAACATCATTGCTATCCACTGCAAGAGGGTCACGATCCTGCTGAAGGACCTGAGGCTGGTTGATAACTTGGCCAAGGCTCGCTGGGAATACAAATATGAAGGCATTATCGACGAGCAGAAGAGAGCAGAAAAGCTACGACAGATGAATGCTGCAAGCAAGGCAGGTCACGAGGGAAACGAAGGCGGGGAGGGGGGTGTCTGAGAAGACAGCAGCAGCACGCAAAGGTGGTGACACTCCAGCGGGGTCGTCGAAGAGGAAAGGAGCGCCGCGCAAAGGCAATCCAGCAAAGAAAAGCATGGCACGCAAATAAGAACACAGTGAAGACTGCACTGAGACCGGTTCGCACACACACAAATATAATGTGTATGAGTGTGTAGGTGCGGTGTTCACTCAATACTCTGCGACGCTGTGTGCTCACTGCTGTGTGCTGTGTGCTGTGTAGTGTAGTGTGCTGTGTGCTGTGTAGTGTGTTGTGTGTTGTATAGTGTGTTGTGTGCTGTGTAGTGTGTAGTGTGTAGTGTGCTGTGTGTTGTATAGTGTGCTGTGTTGTGTGCTGTGTAGTGTGTTGTGTAGTGTGTGTGTGTGTGTTGTGTAGTGTGTGTGTGCTGTGTGTGTGTTGTGAGTTGTGTGTGTGAGTGACTGTCAAACTGTGTGTTGTGTAGTGTGTGGGTGTTGTGTGTGTTGTGTGCTGAGTGTAGTGTGTGTGTGTTGTGTGTGTGTTGTGTGCTGTGTGTTGTGCTGTAGTGCTGTGTAGTGTGTTGTATGTTGTGTTGTGGTGTGTTGTGCGTTGTAGTGCTGTGTAGTGTGCTGTCTGCTGTTGTGTTGTGTAGTGTGTTGTGTAGTGTGCTGTAGTGTGTTGTGTGTTGTGTGCTGTGTAGTGTGCTGTAGTGCTGTGTAGTGTGTTGTGTAGTGTGTGTGTGTGTGTGCTGTGTAGTGTATGTGTGTGGTGTGTGTGTGTTGTGAGCTGTGTGTGTGAGTGTGTGTGCTGTGTGGTGTGTGTGTGTTGTGTGTGCTGTGTGCTGAGTGTAGTGTGCGTGTGCTGTGTGTGTGTTGTGTGCTGTGTGTGTGTGTGTTGTGTGCTGTACAGTAACCCGTAGGGTTAGTTTCGTAACTTTATTTGGTTGAGGGCTAACCGCCAACCTGCCTGTGAGGAAATTTCGTGAGGCACAGATCTGTATAACCGGGAAAATACAGGACATGTACTAACCGAATTCGTACAGCTACCCTAATTGCCTATAGCAGGTCCGGGCTACCCCTACGACAGATAGGCCCTACATGGCCTATGCTGCTAGACGGTCCTATAGCCTATAGCCGGGTCTGGTAGAGGCCGAGAGGCTGAAGCAGCAACGGTACCGGTCGGTCAGTCAGTCCGGTTTAGGTCTAGAGAGTAGATAGATGGGATAGGCCCACCGGATGAGCACTTTTGGTCCGGCTGGACCGAGGCTCTACAGTAGTGGTTCGTTGGGTGGTGGCAGCCATAACTGCCTGTTCCTTCATCAGAGTTGCCCATCGACACCGAAGACTTTATCGCAGGACCTGTTCTTCATCAGGGTGGTTGGCGCTGGCCTCTGGGAGGCTGTTCTGATGCAGCGCTACTAACTGGGTGTAGGATAGAGAGTGGGGTGTGAGTACTGAGTGTGGCGACATACTGGAACAAACTCTGTTACGATAATTGTATGAGTTGCTCATCATAAGTGACCTTTCCAATTGTGATCTTCGCAGGTTCTTTCTTGTGATTGGTTGTTGGGAGTTGTGTCAGAGAGTGAGAAACACTGCGTGTCCTCTCCCCACTTGTGCATGTCTGTCTTCCGCTACTTATTTTCACTTGTGTGCAGTGTGGACTCTGTCTCCTCTCTCCCCTTCTCTTATGCATGTATGGGCATGTGTGAGATTGTGTGTGTGTGAGTGGCGATAAAATTCGTCAGGCAACCAAGTTCATAACAGTGAAGACTTGTGCTCATTCTGGTTGTTGACGATGCATGCTGTGAACACACTGACGTTTTCATGGTGTGAAGACTTCTGCCATTGTGAGATACACAACAAAGAGAATATGTGGAGAGAACTTGTTCTTACGTGGACTTCGCAATTCGTGTTGTTGATGATGAGCGCAGACAGCGCCGGGCAGATAACTTCTGGTAACGAAGGGGACATGATACTTTGTTGAGCGTTGAATCCAGGAACTCTTGACTGTCTTATTAGATACTGGTTATAATGATGCTCATAAATCATTAATGACCGAGAGTCTGTGTGTGTCTTAGAGTTTGTGTGAGTGTGTGTGACACACTGTTCACTAATTCTCTGTTTGTTTGTGTTGTCTTATGCGCCGCACGGTTGAACCACCGAAGCAGAATTGTCGAACCAAAATCTGCATCTTCCCAAACACTTACTGTACAGTGTACGCCGTTGCTTTCGTCGAGGAAGGTATCGTTTCCGGCGTACCTTGAAACTCAAGTCTGCCCTCACTCTCTTGCTCCTATATCCCATGTCCTGCTCTCCCTCTGTTTCTTCTTTTGTCCCTACAGCGTGCACACTCCCAACTAAAACACACTAATGACGTCTGCGGTGGTGACGGGAAGTGACTATGAAACTTCCCATGTTTGAGACATTCCATGGCGTTGGTATGACACACGGACATACACACGGACATACACAGGCACACGGACATACACAGACACACTTACATACACCCATACACACACTGACACAGACACAGACACA